CCAGCTGTGACCAAACTCCCTCCAAGTCCCTTTCTGCGGTTGTGTGGTCTTTCTATTTGGTGTGCAACAATCCAGGGACTAGGGCAAGGCTTTCACATGACTCATGTCTTCAGAATGTACACCAAACAGAGTGTTAATCCAACAGAAATCAGTTGGACTTGATTTACTGCAGTGGCCCGTGTTTAAATAAGTCATGGACTTCATGACACATCTTGCTGTTCTTTATTAGGGGTAACTAGATTCCGATGAAGCTCCCCAAGGTCCTGCAAAATCCTCGATTTACGACCACAATTGAGCCCCAAAATTTATGTCGCTAGGTGAAACATTTGTTAAGTGAGTTTTCCCCCTCTATACGACCTTTCTTGACACAGTTGTTAAGTGAATCACTGCAACTGTTAATTACACGGTTGTTGAGTGAATCCCTGCTTCCCCAACTGACTTTGCTTGTCAGAAAAAGGGGAATCGCATGACAATAATAATAATACTAAAGTTGGAAGGGACCTTGGAGGTGATCTAGTCTAACCCCTTGCTCAGGCAGGAAACCCTATACCATTTCAGACAAGTGGCTGTCCGGTCTCTTCTTAAAAACTTCCAGTGTTGGAGCATTCACAGCTTCTGGAGGCAGGCTGTTCCACTGGCTAATTGTTCTAACTGTCAGGAAGTTTCTCCTTAGTTCTAGGTTGACTCTCTCCTTGATTAAGAGAGACCGGAACATTGTAGCCGTCATAAAGGTGAATCAGTTGCCAAGCATCTGAATTTTGATCACGTGACCATGGAGATGCTGCAATGGTCGTAACTGTGAAAAAAATGGTCGTAAGTTGCTTTTTTCAGTGTTGCTGTAACTTCAAACAATCCTTAAATGAACCGTTGTTGAGGGCTACCTGTATTTTGAGGATGGGCTGGCTGCTTTGAAATGTCTACTGACAAATCTTCCAATCTGTGAGTATTTCGTCCACATTATCTGCCACGGATGAAGCAGTTGAACTCAGCTGCTGTTTTTCAGTCCTCCATGAAATACAAATCATTAATAGACATGTTCTAGAACAGACATGTCAAACACAAGGCCCGGGGGACAGATGCGAAATGGTTTCATGTGGCCTGTGAAGCCATCTTGAAAACAGTGAGGGAACGGCCCCCGCTGCCATGGCCCTGGTCCAGGCCAGCAGGGATCCAATGTATAATTTTGTGGTATCCAGCTATGCTGAAATGTATTCAGTCTTAGCTCCACAAGGCCGTCTGGAAACAGCGAGGAACCAGCCCCTGCCTGGGTGCATGCTGGGGAGGTGTCCCCCTTTGTGAGGAATGAAGAAATGGACCATGCCTTGGCACTTGCCCCGGTCCCACCCCCTTCTGCCAGAGACCCCCAGATTTGTCCCACTCCTGCCCAGGCCTCACAGGCACCCTTGACGCGAACGATGTAGAGCTGGCCACACCCACCCAGTAGGCCGCACCCACTCCAGCCACGCCCACCCAGTTGGCCGCACCCATCCTGGCCACACCCATCCACTGCCCCCCCCCCCCGAGGGCAGCCACAATGCTGATGCAGCCCTCAATGAAATTCAGTTTGACACCCTTGTTCTAGAACTAAATGATGCAAGTCAAGTATTGCGAGTGTTCTTCCTGATACTTGCGACAGAGTAATGACTTAAAAACAAAAGGGGGGGGAAGCAATGTGCATCCTAACTAGAGAAGAAAGATCACACAAAGCTAGCTCAGGAAACTGCTTTAATATGCTAAGTCAGTTCCTCATTATATCCCATGGCCAGATCAATAGAAATCAAAGATCAGTTCTGTGCAAAGCATAATCAACCCATTTCCTAAGAGCTTCTCTTTTCCCTTCTCTGGACAAATCCTCAAATGCTTTCTACCGTCAGCTGTAACCACCAAATTCATGCAGGAAAAAAATATCAAAGGACATGATCAGAATTTAATTCTTTACTCTCCTTGCAAGTAAATCTCCCGAACATTGCCTGAAAAAATAACTTAAGCTTTTCAGATATTTTTTACTTGTCCATCAGGAAAGGCAAAGGCTTGTTTCATTCTTAAGGAGTGAGAAAAAGATTAGAAATTTCATGAATTGTATACCTTCTACTGTTTTTGCACAATGAACACATAACAGACATGGCAAGAGTCATCGGATACCTGTGAAAACTAAGGTTTGTCTGTCTTTCAAAAAAAAAAAAAAAAGAATGGCATCAAGACATAAGATTGCTCCCACTTCAAACTTTGGGATTATAGCAATTTTATACTGGAAGAGAGCTGTCTTGAAGAGGACAAATAAATGGCACACTGGAGCATCTGTTTAAAATGGGAACTAGAATGTGTGAACTGTAGTGGTTTCCAGGTTTTGCAAAAGAGCCTCGGCATAATGTTTCAGCTTTGTGGTCTGGTGGCAGCTTTACAGCTTCTTAAGCTCAGGTCAGAAGAAAATTGAACATTTCACTTCCGGGTTATTTGTTCAAACTCCATCATCCACGATTATAAATACTGCAAAGCAGAGTTTCTCAACCTTGGTTATTTTAAGATGGGTGGACTTCATGCTGGCTGGGGAATTCTGGGAATTGAAGCCCACCCCTTTTAAAGTTGCCAGGGTTGAGAGACAATGCTGTAAAGACTTAATGTAAATATTATTATTTAGTAAATGTGTTTGCCACTCCTCTCCCTACAATGCCCCAAACCAGGGTATTTAATTTCTCATGGTGACTAACAACCTGCCCTTAGAAACTCCAATACAGAGCATAAGAAAAACTTTCTTCTCAACTATGACATCCTTTTACCAAATCTGGAGGCAAAATATATCCAATGAAGCTATTGACAGATATTCTATGCAGCTGGTGAAATGAGCTGCACCAACAAAAGCTTATCACTTTTAACAAAACGTGTTAAGTCAGGAAAAGTCACACTTCTCTCCCACTAAGAGTAACAAATGGACAAGTATGAAAAGTCACGCCGTCTCTGCCTTTTCACTCTTTCAAGCCAGTTTGTTTTTCTCTAGAGAATCTAAATTCCATGGAAAATCTGACTGCCTGAGGCTCAGCCAAATCCAGCCACCTATCTGCAGCATGCTAACCAAATAAATAAATATATATAAATATATAGGTCTTTGGTTATTCAGGTTTTCTCCTGCGTCAAATTGGAAGTGTCTTGGCGACGTTTTGATGAAGTCCCATTCATCATCTTCAGGCTGATGTTTTCGGCTTCGTGCTTCTAGAAGCAAGCATCCTAGAAGCACAAAGCCAAAAACACCAGCCTGAAGATGACGAATGGGGCTTCGTCGAAACGTCTCCAAAACACTTCCAATTTTACGTGGGAGAAAACCCGAATAACCAAAGATCTACATACAAACACCCGCGAAAACAGCTGCCTAACATGCACACAGCCCAGATTCGAATCTCAGAAGGGTATGTCTGGCTGAAGAGAGTTAAGAAGCTCAAAATAGCTATTCAGGTTCTCCCTTTATTCTTTGTTAGCAATCTAAAAAAAATGTATGTATGTATGTATGTGTATACACACACACACACACACACACACACACACACAATAAACACTTTTGCAACCAAAAATTATTTAAGCGCCCCTTTATCCCAATATGATTCATACTATGGAGTGCAAATTTTTAGAGCGTGGAGTCCGAACGTGTCAAGAATGAGGCATTTTTGCTGCCCGGCTGGGAGTAAAGAAAGTAAAGAAACTTTTTGATACGCTAAGTGAAGAATATGAGAATCAGGTCTTGATACAGACAGTCCTCGACTTGCGACCACAATTGAGCCCAAAATTTATGTTGCTCAATGAGACATTTGTGAAGCAAATTTTGCCCCATTTCATGACCTTTCTTGCCACAGTTGTTAAGTGAATCATTGCAGTTGTTAAGTTAGTAACATGGTTGTTAAGTGAATTTGGCTTTCCCCATTGACTCTGCTTGTCAGAACGTTGCAAATGGGGATCATGTGACCCGCTGGGACGTTGCAACCGTCATAAATATGAACTAGTTGCCGAGCGTCTGAATGTTGATCATGTGACCCTGGGGATGCTGCAACGGCTGTCCCTTATTTTCACTGCCGTTGTAACTTTGAACTGTCACTAAACGGACTGTTGTAAGTTGAGGACTACCTGTACATCGACAGTCATAAACAAACAATCTGTTTCTCTTATGTTTTAGCTTGAGCTCTCTAACTTTGCTATCAGTGTAGGCAAAGTCAATGAAAATAGAACTGGAAGGGACCTTGAAGGTCTTCTAGTCCAACCCCCTGCTCAGGCAGGAGACCCTATACCATTTCAGACAAGTGGCTGTCCAATCTCTTCTTAGAAACCTCCAGTGATGAAGCACCCACAACGTCTGAAAGCAAGCTGTTCTACTTGTTAACTCTCCTCGCTGTTAGGAAGTGTCTCCTTAATTCCAGGTTGCTTTTCTCCTTGATTAGTTTCCATCCTGCCCTCTGGTGCTTTGGAAAATAAATTGACCCCCTTCCTCTTTCTGACAGCCCCTCAAATACTGGAATATTGCTATCTTGTCCCCCTCCCCCAAGTCCTTCTTTTCTCTAGACTAGCCAAACCCAAATCTTCATAAGTTTTGGCCCCCAGGCCTTTAAAAGTTAATTGCCAACTGTTCAATCCAAAACTGGTACAAGAACTGGCATTTTTCTGTCAAGGCTCCTTACAGCTGTTGCACAGAATTTTAAACGGCCAGAGCTATGACAGCTTGCAAAGACACAACACGACACAGTCCGACTAGACAGTGTTACATTTTTAACTACCGTGGAAAGACACAGGGGAAAGTGCGATTCTGCCGTCTTCGCTCTTAATTACAGTTTTCCGGCGCGACGGTTTTATGATCTCTCCAGCTTTTCATTTAAAAATAAAAAAAAAAGGTTTAGCGGTGCAGAAGGAAACCAGATTTAGCTCGGCCCTCCTTGTACCCCAACTCTGAAAAGAAACACAATTCAGCTACCCCTGCTATTATCTGCAGGCGCACTTCTGAATCGCACACACAACACGCTTACCGTTGCTGTAGGCGTAAGGCGATTCCGATGCTCCGTCTTGAAGACTCTCCAGGATTTCTCCTTTGCCCACGTCGCTGTCGCCAACCAACAAAAACTTCAGCAGATAATCGTAGCTTTTTACAGGGCTGCCCTGGGTTCCCATTCTCCCTCTCATTAGTGAAGGTGCACGATTTGCATGCTAAACAGCCAGCCAGACTGATAGATGCTGGAGACGCCAATCTTGCAGGGAGAATCTTGAGAGAGTTAGCACGATTCTGCTTCTACCCCAAAGGGGACACAACTCAAAAGAATGGTTCTTCTCGCAAAAATCTCGTCATCCTTTGTGAATGAAGAGGCTGCTGTCAAAATATGCCAGGATTCTGGGGAGGGGGGAAGAAACGGGGAAGAAGATGACCTACTTACTTTGTTCAAGAGTTGCAAAATTACAAGCAAGCTTTAAAAAGTCTCCAAGCTACCAAGAAGGATATTAACAATAGCCAGATTGGTAACTCTTCCACATCTACATATAAAATAAGGGAGGAGAATACATTCATTGTCACATTAGTGACAAGCTAATCTAGCAAGAAAAATGATAAAATGTACTGATAAATTGATATACAGGCAGCTACCCTGTTGTAAAGGAAGAGACTGTTCCTAGATCTATTCATTGGATACTATTTATTTACACAAAAACACGCATAGATTTTAGATTTCTTGCTCGTGCCTTTCCTTTCTCCCATCCACACACCCAACATCTTTTGACTGTCCTGTAAAAGAAATCAAGTGTGTTTCATTTGACTAGCATAATTACTATTAATACGGTGCCCTGGTGCCCTGCAATATTCGTATTTTTACAGTGCTGACAATTCTCTTACTCTACCTAATTTTTCTTTAAGGGATATTATTATTTTCTGCCCTTTCCTAATCTTTTCCAAGGCTAACTGCAGCTGGATCAAGATATTCCGAAACAAATGGATCTTCAAGGAACCAATAAGAAACTATAACCTCTCTCTCTCTCTCTTTTGTGTTTATAAACGAGAGTTAAATTGTAATAAAAAAGGAGCAAATTGTTTTTCTTTCATGGTATGCTTCCCCCAGCATTGTGAGCTAATAAATCATGTCAAACATTGCAATTACAGAAAGAGGGGGTGGCTGAAGATTAATTAACGAGGAACACAAGGTGAGGGGAGAAGTCCAGAAAAGGACAAGAATAAAGATGAGATATGAACACAAAGGTATAAAACCATGGTGACTGGAAAGAGTGTAAGGAAGAGAGTGTGACAGCAAAGGAAGCCAGGATATTAGACATTAGACAAGAATAAAGAAAAGGGGAAAAATAAATGGGGCAATGAAGAAAGAGGGCCTAAGGGAGTCATACAAGAGATAGTATCTTCAAGTCAGTTAACTATTTATTCACATTATCCACCTATGGAGAAGGGATGTGTGGTCTCTTCCTTCAATTCCATTAGGTTTTTTTTTTTTTTACAAGAAAAGGTCAAGATTAGAGAACTAATATGAACAGAAATTAAACCTCAGTGTTAACAGTGACAGCTGACAAAAGATTTAGTGGTGAACAAGCAGCTCTGTGATAGACAACCCAGGCTTGATTTAGGGTCTGCAGAAAGGAAATTCTTCCAGAAAAAAAATTACATTCCTTTGCATTAAAGAAGTCTAGTTACAAACAAACATACCGGAAAAGAAAAATCAAAGCTAGAAGATGGGTTGTCTACAGCCCTTATATGACTTGACATTCTTTGGTGGTTTTTAAATGTTCAGAGCTGATCATCTGGTGGCATCTTCTTCGGAGACAAGCCAAACGCCCCGTTAGACTTGGGGATTGGAGGACAACAAAAGCATCACCGGTTTTTTTGACAAATGCACAGACTGCAGGTCCTGTCAAACCCCTCAGTCTGTTCAATTTTATTGGAACAAAAAACGCAGGACTCTGTTTTCTAGCCAGCCCAACCCTGATTCAGAGATGAGACAATGCTAGATCCAACCTGCAAAATGCCCAGGTTGTTTTGGACTGTTCGAATGGACTCTGTTGCGATGTCTACGGAGATTCTCCATCATCCAGGTCAGGGTTGTCCCAAAGGTGCTTTTTCCAAAAGACAACTGGACTTTCTTGATTTCCCCCCCCCCCTTGAACTGAAGAAGCTTCTTGGATGAGAAGTAAAATGTTTTCTTTTCAAAGAAACCCTCCCCCCCCCTCGAAAGCCCAGTTGCCTTTTGGAAAAAAGCAGCTTTGGGACTCTGTTGAGATGCAAACACCAGGCTGGGATGTGCACCTCCGAACAATGCACCCATGCGCACACACATACCCACACCCCAGCTCCCCATCCCATAGGCAATTCTGGCTTGTTTTAGACTCCCCTAGATGTCTGGGTCCCTATCATCTGCCTATCATCCCTTCCCCTCCCCAAATCCTTCCTTATACAAGTGTGTGTGTGTGTTGTTCGGAGGTGCACATCCCAGCCTGGTGTTTGGATCTCAAAAGAGTCCTAAAGCTGCTTTTTCCAAAAGGCAACTGGACTTTCTTGGGTTGTTTTTTTTTTCCTTGCACCATAAAAGCAGCCAATCTAATGGATGGCTTGGATCTGGGCGGATGGAGGAGACCAGGAGGAGAAGAGGGCGCACGCAGCAGGATGAGTAGGGTAGGAGAGACCCAGGCTGAGGTTCCCTTTCAGACATGGACCCGGAGGGTGTGAATTTTGGCTCTCTTTCAGAGGAGCCCACCCTACAGGGATGTTGTAGTGGGATAATATGGGGAGACCTCCCCTCCTCCGCCGACATTGTCCTCAGCTTGCTGAGTAAGGGTTGGGAAAGAAGGAGGAGGAGGAGGAGGAGGAGGAGGAGGAGGAGGAGGAGGAGGAGGAGGAGGAGGAGGAGAAGAAGAAGAAGAAGAAGAAGAAGAAGAAGAAGAATAAGAAGAAGAAGAAGAAGAAGAAGAAGAAGAAGAAGAAGAAGAAGAAGAAGAAGAAGAAGAAGAAGAAGAAGAAGAAGAAGAAGAAGAAGAAGAAGATGATGATAATGGTAATGTATAAGGAGGAGGAGGCAGAGAACTTGGGGAGGCAGGGCATGCCTAAACACGGGTTTGAGGCAACAACAACAACAACAATAATGGTAATGTACAAGGAAGAGACTTGGGAAGGCAGGGCACACCTAAACACGGGTTTGAGACAATTCCCACGGTCCAGCCCGCCGCCCTCGCCTGCCAGGGAGGCAAGAGAGGCTAAAGCACGCCCTGTGTAATGAACCACACGTGTGAAGTGGCCCCGACACGTGTCAAGGGGGACAAGCGGGTTTGAAAAGAGGGTGGGGATGGCAGGGACCCCCGCCCAAGGACTGACTTCGGAGCGAGCCGCGACAGTCACCCGCCTCCGACCCCGGGCAGCGCGGCCAGTCCAGACTCACCTCCCTCAGGCCGCTGAGGCCGCCCGTCCCCGGCTCGCCGCCGCCGCCGCCGCCGATCGTCGACAAACTGCGCTCCGCCGCCAGCCAGCCAGGCCTCCCGCTCGCCCAGCGACAGCGCCGCCGCCGCGCCATTGGCTCCCCGCCGCGTCAGTCCTCCTTCCGCCTCGCCCATTTGCCGCCGTCCCCCCGTTCTGTCCGCCTCGTCCAGCAGAAGCGGCCTATCAGGAGGGAGGGGCGGGGAAAAGCTCTCGGGACGCTTCCTTCTCTTTTCGAGACCTTTACATAAAGAAAGGGAGGGACCACAGCTCCCGGCGTGCCTTGCGCCGGCTGCCTTCGTCCGCGGCCATGATCGAGTGACCGCCGGGGAGGCTGGGAGTGGTAGTAGAGGCGTGTGGGCGTGGTCCTCGTAGCGATGCTGGCTCATTTCTTTTGCATTTCCAGCTAGGTTAATTGGAGAGAGAAAAAGGATGCGTTATAGGGGACGGCACAGGCACAGCGTGAAAAGCTTATGAAAAGTACACAAATTCTGCTTTGATTGCTAGAAGAGTCTTGACTGAGCCTTCAGTTATGGCAAGATATTCGGGGATCACTTTCCTGCATACACTGCTATATTTGTAGATTTAGTTATTTATATTATTTAGATTTACAGATTTAGTTACGCAGGGTGGTCTCGATTCGTGCACATAATAAAACCCGCGTAATGGTGGCATTATTAAATGATCGTTCTGCAGAAAACAGGATAATTGGTTCCAGTTCACCAGAAACTGACAATTGAAAATTTTAAAACATGTACATTTGTATGAAATACTGTCAAAGGAAAAGAGACTTTATCTCCTGTAGCAGATGTAACCCATATCTTAAAACAGATCTGCTATCTCCTGTATTTTGCTAGAGTTCTTTAAAAGGAGCATCTCCTTTTTTTATTATTTCTTTCCTTGTCTCCATTTTTCACGAACAATGACGGGCATCTAAAATCCAACACAACGTATTAGAATATACATTTAAAATATATGATAAATAGATAGATAGATAGATAGATAGATAGATAGATAGATAGATAGATAGATAGATAGATAGATAGATAGATAGATAGAGACAGATGACAGACAGACAGACAGACAAATAGATAGATAGAGGTATTTCACAATATTGCCTATACATTCCTATATATGTATATATATATATATCTACCGTACTATGCACAGGTAGACAGAATATACAAAATATATTACATCTACCGTACATAGAATTATATACAGTAGATTAAAATCATATTAAGAGCATTAAGGCAATCGAGATAATTCTCTTCTATTTGTGCCAGCCTAGATAATTCATTTATGCAAGCTTCTCCTGCCGCCCACTCACTCACAAAATACGCAATGTTATAATGAGCCTTGATTCTGCATAAATACATATTTTTGGAAAAGAAGCAATACCTCTATTAACATGGCCATCTGTGACCTGCTGTGCTACAAAACACTTTAGAAAATATATTAGATGTAATACGTATATTAGATATTACACATATAACATATAGATAAATATTAAACACCTTCTCAAAGCATGGATTGGTTTTGCATATCGTGCGTACTGAGCGATTTCATTAAGCTGTATCTCTGGTTCATTTCTTTGGACATGACAGGCCATACAAAGAGATCAGTTGTATTTTGCTTATGGCTTTGTGCTAATTCTGCACTAATACACCTAGAGCAGCGGTTCTCAACCTATGGGTCGCGACCCCATTTGGGGTCGATCGACCACTTTTCGGGGGTCGCCAAAGGCGGCGATCCGCCATTTTGTCCCCTCCGGGGGCGGCACCGCGCATGCGCATAACGTTTGTGTGACGGGGGTCGCCGTCACACAAACGTTGAGAACCGCTGACCTAGAGTATCCCATGCTTTGCCATCATTCTTCGTCCGTTAAAATCTAAATGGGAGAAGAGAGAAAACCCCAAATACTTCAAATCAGGAGGAGTCTAGTAGCAAATTAGAAGAAGTCTTTCCTGACTCACAAATTTTAGTAAAAGGCATCAACATTCTTGAGTTGGAACTCAAGTCATCAGATGCATCGAGACAAGAATAGGTTAGAAAGGGGCCACTACAACTCACAAAATAAAAACATTAAAAAAATAAATCAAAACTCTTAATAGAAATGTGTAAATTGGGAAAGTCTTCTCATTTGTTGCTACTATAGACTAACTTAGAAAGCCAGTTTGGTGTAGAGGTTAAGGCATCAGCCTAGAAACCAGGGGGTCATGAGTTCTACTCCCACCTTAGGCACAACACCAGATGGGGTATCCTTGGGCCAGATCTATTCTCTCAGCCCTAGGAAAGAGGCAACGGCACACCCCTTCTGAAAAATCTCGCCAAGAAAATTGCAGGACTTGTCCAGGCGCTCCCTGAGAAACAGACATGATGGAATGTAAGAAAAAGAAAATGGACTTAACATGAACTAATTCTTGGGAACATAGGATAACAGATTAATTTCTTGCCTTGAATGTCCTCGTTGCAAATTTGAACCCTAATTTTAGCTAAAGGCGCACCAAAGACCCTTCTTTCCCATCAGATTTTTTTAAAAAAGTTTAGAATCAAATGTCTTCAGAGATTCTCAGTCATCCAGGTCATGGTTGTCCCAACAGTGCTTTTCAAAAGGCAATGGAACTTTTCTTGGGTTTTTTCCTTGAAAACATTTTGTTGCTGTTAGTTGCGAAGTCGTGTCCGACCCATCGCAACCCCATGGACAACGTTCTTCCAGGCCCTTCCTGTCCTCTACCATCTTCTGGAGTCCATTGAAGCTCACGCCTGCTGCTTCAGTGACTCCATCCAGCCACCTCATTCTCTGTCGTCCCCTTCTTCTATTGCCCTCCATCTTTCTCACCATTAGGCCCTTCTCCAGTGAGTCTTTCCTTCTCATTAGGTGGCCAAAATACTTGAGTGTCAACTTCAGGATCTGACCTTTAAAGAGCAGTCAGGGTTGATCTCCTCTAGGACTGACCGGTTTGATTGCCTTGCAGTCCAGGGAACTCGCAGGAGTCTTCTCCAGCACCGTAGTTCAAAGGCCTCCATTCTTTGGCGCTCGGCCTTTCTTATGTCCAACTTTCACAGCCATACGTTGCAACTGGGAAAACCATGGTCTTGACTATACGTACTTTTGTTGGCAGGGTGATGTCTCTGCTTTTTAGTTCTGTTCAGTTCCGTTCAGAACTGAAGAAGCTTCTTGGTTGAGAAGTAAAACGTTTTCAAGCAAAAAAAATCCCAGGAAATTCCAGTTGTCTTTTGGAAAAAAAACACCTTTGGCTCACTGTCTGCAAGCAGAATAGTCACCAAATCATCCAGCAGCCCCAAAGAAGAAGAAACCAACTGAAGAAACACCGGAAGAAACCGATTGAATTTTAACCACTAAGCTGGCCTCTGAAATGGGACGATTTGGCTTCACTTATGGAAATGCAACAAATGGTTTAAACCCCAAATTTCCCCCTTCTGGAAGAACTCCTCTGGGCAGACAAAACTTCCTGTTCCCAGCAGTGAAGCAGCTCAATGGCTCCTGGGTCTTGGCCTTCATTTCCATCTCAATATTCAGGCAGTTGTTTTGCCATCCAAGAATCTCACAGGAAGGCTGTTGTTTCCTTGGCGGTGGAAAGGGCTCTCCGTCTGGTGAATGCTGAGAAGGCCTGCATTGTCTTAGCTTGGCAAGGCCCAAGTTAGAATTCGGGTTGTGATCAGCTGCAACCTGAAGCTGTCCAGAAATCCATGGAGAGTTGTCCGGATGTTTGGCGACGGGGACCACACATCGTCATAAGAGACCGTATCTCTCCAGATTGAACTGATGAAACACCAAGCTGTTTTGGGTTGATGTCCTCATCTCCATGTCTCAACTGCAGCTTTCCCCCAGCCTGACAATCTTCAGACAGGCAAGAGGACCATGCCCCATGATTCCCAGCCTGCGTGGTTATTGTCTGGATGGCCCAATAGGAACGGTGGTAGACCAGATGGAAGAGAACTTTTCTTTGTTGTTTTGTTTGGCAAGCAAAAGCCAACATTCAGTGGCTTGGCGTGGGACGTTTCCCAAAAAAGAGCGGAAGACATGCCAGGCTGAAATTTGGGACAACAGCGGTAAGTCAACGTTGACAATACGGAGTTGGCTGGTGTGACTTACAAGAAGCAGCCAGCTGGGTGGCACTTTTTCAGACTGGCACATCTTATTAAAGGCACAAGATTTTGTGAGTTACCTTTGATTTGGGGCTGCCATAGTTTAACCCACTGCACCTCCTATGTATCTTGTGCCATCTCTCTCTCTCTCTCTCTCTCTCTCTCTCTCTCTCTCTCTCTCTCTCTCTCTCTCTCTCTCTCTCATAATACAATGGTTAGATGGCCTAGATTGTTTTTGAACATAGATCTTTTTAACATTTATATTTTATTGTATTCTACTAATCTAGATGAAATATCTATCTATCTATCTATCTATCTATCCATCCATCCATCCATCCATTATCTATCTATCTATCCATCTACTATGTCTGTCTGTCTGTCTCTCTCTCTCTCTATCTATCTATCTATCTATCTATCTATCTATCTATCTATCTATCTATCTATCTATCCTACTATCTATCTCTATATATCCATCCATCCATCCATCCATCCATCCATCTATCTACCATCCATCCATCCATCCATTGTCTGTCTGTCTGTCTGTCTGTCTATCTATCTATCTATCTATCTATCTATCTATCTATCTATCTATCTATCTAATCCATCTGCTGCTTCTCCCCAGGACAATTCACAAGATAAAGTATTGCAATAAATTGCAACAGCCTGAAAAAGACACGACGTGTACCTTAGCACAAGCCAGTCATATTGTGGTTATTCAACAAACTATACCACTTAAACAATCATGGCTTTGTACTGGACAAAGCTGCCTGTTACCGGAAATGAATTCAGTGGGAGCCCTTCTTACAAGGTGCCCTAGAGGAGATGCAGAGGGATAAAAGAATACGCAGTGATGAAGGAGTAACATTTATTTATATTCACTTGTATCCCACTGTTATTCTTTTTACAAAATAACTCGAGGTGGCAAACATCGTTCGTTTCCTATTTTCCCCACCACAATCCTGTGAGGTGGGTGACAATGACTGACCCAAAGGCTGGCTTTCACGGCTAAGGCAGGTCTTTTGAACTCATAGTCTCCCACTTTCTAGCCTGGCACCTTAACCACTAGACTAGACTGCCTCTCAATTTATTGGATTCAACTTTTTGTTTAATTGAGGAACTGTTAGCTAGCAAGGAAGGCTCACAAGCCTTTTCAAATTTGATGCAGACAATTTGTCCAGAAATGTCTGATATGAAGTAAGTGTCATATCCCTTGGCGTAAAGTATAGGCAATTTTTAAATATATTCTTCCCGTGTGG